AATAACCAAGATATAAAAGAATGATGGCTGTAGTAACAGAGAATCTGTGAGAGACAAATGAGTCAGTTTGTTGTTCGATTGTGTCCTACTCTGTGTGACCCCGTTTGGGGTTTTCTTGGCAAAGATACTGGAGTGATTTGCCATTTCCTTCTCCAGCTCATTTAACAGATGAGGAAACGGTTATAAAAAGGGTTAAGTGACTTGCCCAGGGTCACACAGCTAGTGTCTGAGGCCAGATCTGAACCAAGGTGTTCCTCATTCCAGATCCACTTCAACACTTAGCTGCCAACCAGTCAAATATATTTCTTGAGGGCTTACTATATTTCAGGTACTGTGCCAAGGGCTGGGGGGATGCAAAGAAAGTGGAAAATAGCCATGGTTACCAAACAGCTGACATTCTAATTCCAGGGAGGGAAACAAAGTACATAAATAGGTATGTATAAGATAAATTCAGAGTAGATACAATGTAACCTTTGAGGGCAGGTATGAACAATTGGGGAGACCTGGAAAAGACTCCTGCACAAGGAGTTGCATCCCTTCTTCCTAATAAAATAAAAACAAGATAAGAGAATTTTTAAGTCTGTCCCTCAAAAAGGTGTACAGCATCTACTCAGGATGAAAGTAAAGTAGTCAGGCCAGTCAAAGCACACATTTGTGGGAAGCTTTTGGAAGTTAGGGAGTGAATTGTACCTTTTGAAATTTCTTTAGAGAAGATTGAAATCTGTGGCCTGATCTCTTCCAGGGCCTTGGTGGTCCTCAATTTACCACTTGCAACATTTTTTTATCCCTATCTAAAAAATATGTGATGTGTGTGTATATTTATATGTCTCTAAACTGATACCTAGCTTAGAAACAAATTTAGCACTTCATACATGCATTTTAAGATAACTGTAACGGAAATGTATTGTGGGGGCTGTCTTGATTAGATGGCTAAACATTTTTCTGAACTAAGTCATCTCTAACATATGCACATTACCAAAAGCTGACAAAAAGAGAATATATGTGTATATGTACTTAAAGATTTAGTGTGATGTATACAGCTAAAATCAGCCTGTTTTCTCAAAAATGAGATATTTCTTTCTTTGTTTCCTTGTGTTGCTTCTTGAGACCAAAATTGGTATCATGTCCTTCATTCAACAAGTTTATTACATTCTTACTATGTGCAAAGCAAAGAAATAATTCATTTTGTTTATAGAATTAAGCACAGTATTATGCTAGGGATTAAAAAAAGAGATATAGCCCTTGTTCTCAAGGAGCTTACTAATAGGGAGATAATATATATGTACAAATGAGAATGATAAAAATGTACTCTAAGGGCAGAGGAGAGTCAAAGTGCTCTAGAAATTTTAGTACAGAAATAACACTTTCATCTTGGAAGTTGGGTAATCAGGAGATATCTAAGGTAGGCCTTGAACAAATATAAAGATTTCAACAGGCAGAAATGTGGGAGTATGTTCTGGGTATAGAGGAAGAAGAGCAAGGTGAGATTAGGACATATCTTAGGTTGTTCATTTTGTTTGGAACAGTGTATATGAGGGCAGATAAATAGAAATAAAGATAGAAAAGTAGATGAGAGCTAGAAGGCCATTCATATTTAATCTGATAGGAAGTAGGGAGCCCATGAAAGTTTTTGAGCTTATTTTGGCAGTTATTTCAAGTATGGATTGGAAAAGAAGCTGGATATAAAGCAATTAAAAAGTTATTAAGTAGTCTAAATAAAAGGTTATCAGGGCTTGAAAACTAGAGTGTAGGCAGTATGGAATGTAAGTCACATAGAGGCAGAACTGACAGGACTTGGTAACTGTATTGTAATTGGTGACTTTATTGAGTGAAACAATGATAGGAATTAAAAATGATATAACCCCTCTTTTGAAGTGGTTTACTAATGGAATGATACATGTACACAAACTAGAATGATAAGAAAGGTCTGGTCAAAGTGGTATGAGAAATTTTAGGAAAGAAACAGCACTTTGATCTTGGAGTGAGGGGTAATCAGCAGAGACTTTTCGTCTAAGCTGGACACTGAACAAAGATAAAAGATTTCAACAGGCAGAAATGTGGAAGGAATGTAGGAAGAAAAGGAGAGGCAAGCATTTAGAAATGTCGTACTGTGGGTCCAAGGGAGAGTTTGGGGCTGGATGTGCAGATGTTATAATCAGCTGTATAGCGATGTTGATAACAAGCCTTGGTAATAGTTAAGATCACTAAGGGTGAGATTGTAGTGACAGGCAAGAGGCTTAAGTGTGTAAAAGCTTCACTATTTTCCCCAGTTACCTTTTCATCAGCAGTACTGCCAGCAAAACCAAAGACCATGCCTTAAGAAAACTTAAACTGTTTTTGGCTATTACTCTGAGAGCCCAATATCCTGCTTGGTGAGTCCCTCTCCTGCTCCAGCCATGCTTTGTTTTACTTCTCTACCATCCTGTCAACTGTACCACCACCTTCCTCTTCCACTTCTGGAAATATTTTCAAATAAACATCAATACTGCCATTGCTACTGGAAAGGGGAAAGGATTTGTTAATCTCATTTTGGATTCATGCACCTTCTTGTATCTTTCCAAACCAAAATATTCCTTCCTGGTCACCACTCCTCTATATGTGCTGTTTCCCTCCATTAGAATGCAAGCTCCTTGAAGGATGGGACAACCTTTACTTTTGTATTTGCATTCCTAGGCCTTAACATAGCTCTTGGCACATAGTAAGCACTTAATGCATTCTTTTTTCTTTCATTCACTTACAGGGAACACTTGCAGTTAGGAGGAGAGAGCAGGAAGATGACTCATAGAAGGAAATCAAGGAGTGGTCACACAGATAGGAGAAGGGAATTTCATTGAACACCAGGGAAGGCAAGTATCAAGGAAAAAGGTCTGGTCAATAAAGTCGAAGAAAAGTGATGGAAAATGAGGACTGAGAAAAGTTCTTTAGTTTTGTATTTTTAGAGGTCATTGGTGACAGAGAAAGCAGTGATAGGAATGAAGTCAATAGAGGTCAGGAATCTTAAGAAAATAGTGACTAGTGACAAGGTGAAGACACTGGTGTAGACTATTCTTTCCAGAAGTTTAACAGTGGGAAAAAAACAGTGGGATGATAACTTCAGATGCTAGTTGAATGGAGGGAAGGTTTTTTATTTTTTTAAAGAATGGGAAATCCAAATGATTGTAGGGAGGAGGGAAGAAAAGTAGAGACAGATAAAGCAATTATGAGAAAGAGAAGGGAAGAATAACTAGAACAGGGTCCCTGGGAGAGGATAGGTTTAAATCCAGGGGTTAGCTTTGGCAGGGAGGAAGGCAACCATTCTTTGATTCTAGTAAGGAAGGAGGTAATAGTTATAGAACTGATAAAGCTTAAAACATACAGCTCAGTTTTCTCAGTAAAGGAGAGTAGAAGCTCCTGCCCACGAAGCTTATAGTCTTGTGGAGGTAATAAAATCTGCACACAAAACAAAATAGAACAAGAAGAAAGGGTACTAACAGGTACCCTGTTAAGCATAAGCATGCAAAAAAGAATTTCTAGCTAGCAGGTGGTTTAAGAGAATAATTTTCATTTATAGATTGATTTATAGTTTGTAAATTGCTTAGGGAAGACTTCTTGGAGGAAATAGCAGTTGCCCTTTGCCCAGTCTATCTTCTACATAGCTGCCAAATTAATAGTCCTCAAGCACAGTTCTGACCATGTCACCCCCCCTGCCCTAGAAGCTCCAGGGGACTCTCTTTTGCCTCTCAGATAAAACAAACTCATGTTTGGCTTTTAAAGACCTTGCTCTTCAGAAGTGAGCACTAACCTACCTTTCCTTACTTAACATCTTTAACGGCATTGTATTTTCCAGCCAAACTGGTCTACCTGTTACCTCTTCCCCGCCCTCCGCACCATTTCTGTTTTTTTGCACCTGCCCAGCAGGCTCTGCCTTCTCCACCTGACTGACTGTTAAGAATTTATCCTTTCTCTCAAAGTTCAGCTGAAGTGCTATCGTCTCTAGAAAGCCTATCCAGAACCCCAACTACCCACCCAACATTTGCTAATCTCCCTCCATTTTCTTATATAGCCTAACTCTAGTGGTTACAATAATGGATTTGAACCTTATGCTGACACTATAGCTGTGTGACAGTCAAGTCACTTAACAAACTTTCTGAACCTGTTGGCTCACCTGTAAATAAATGGATGGAATGGGACTAGAGAGACGTTAAGGTGTTCCAGCTCTAAATCTAAAATCCCATGCCTACTTCCAGTAGAATGCAAGCTCTTTGAGGGGCCTGCTTGGTTTGTCTTTGTATCCCTAGGCCCTAGCAGCGTGGCACAAAGGCTCTTAATAGTGCCTTTTAAATTAATGAATAAAAGACGGCTGTCAGAAGTGGGGAAATTGAGTCCGGAATGGAGCCCCCCTCCCTGGTTGCACGTCGCTTCCTCGGGTTTGCCCTGGGCTGGGGCGTCACGAGCCGGAGCCAAGACAGAATTTTCCTCCCAGTTTTTCATCACCTCAAGATTCCAAGAGGTTGATGAAGCCAAGAGGGGATTTTCCTGGCCGAATTTTTCCGAGGCACGGCCTTAGAGCCTTGGCCCGGCTTTGGCTTAGAGGCAAAAAAAATCCCCGAAACTTGGATCTTTTTTCTTAACCGAACTGACTACTTCCCGGCCGTTCCGGGACGCGCAGTTCACGCACTCCGCGCCCCCAGCCCGACAGGTGCACCGCCTGCCCCTGGGCTCTTTTCCCCTCCGGCCCGCGTGCCCGCGCGCCCCCTACGTCGCGTCACAGCCCTGGGCGTGCACGCCGCGGTGGGGGCGCGCCCGGCTGCGGGACCGCGCACGCATGCCTCCCGCCGCCTCCACCTCCCTTTCCCTCCCTCCACCCATCCCTCCACCCCCTCCTCTCCCCTCCCCCTCCCCCTCCCCCCTGTGTGCCGCCCGATCGCTAGCTCGCTCGCTCGCTCCCTCGGCCCCTCGCACTCGCTCGGGCTGGGTCTTCCCCCTCCCCCCGGCTCTCTTCTCGGTCTCCTCAGGCGGTAGCCCGCGCTCTGTGGATGTGGCTGGGCGCCGCCGCCGCCGCCCCCCTCTCCCTAGCTCGCCGCCTGCCCTGTAGCCGCCGCCTGCGCTTCTTCGGCCCTCCTCCTCCTCCTCCTCCTCCTCCCCTCCTCGTCCTCCTCCTCCGCCGTCTCAGCCTCTGCCTCGGCCGCCGCCTCCACAGCCTGGGCCCCGCCGCCGCGATGCCGGAGAAGAGGCCCTTCGAGCGGCTGCCGGCCGAGGTCTCTCCGATCAACTACAGTCTCTGCCTCAAGCCTGACCTACTGGACTTCACCTTCGAGGGCAAGCTGGAGGCCGCCGCCCAGGTAGCCCCGAGTCCCGGGATCGGTCCCGGGGACCGCGCGCGGGGCTGGGGGGGGGGCGTGCGTGAGCGTGTGAGGGGATCACGGGCAGTTAGGCCGCGTCGCTGGCTGGGGTGGGGGGGCGGTGGCGAGGAGGGCAGGGGGCCGCGCCCCGCCTCGCTGGGCTGGGAGGCCCGGGGGGGGCGGGGAGGAGGAGGTGGCTGGGCCCACCCTCCCCCTCTCCTTTCGACCTGCTCTGGAGGGAGGGGTGGCCCTGTGGAAAAGGAGCAGTGGCAAAAGATTAGGGGCAGGGGGCCCCAGAAACCTTCCCGCGTCCCCCCTCCCCAAAAGAGAGCGTCGGAGCACACCTGTGTGGGTCTCCCCACTCCGCCCCTTCCGGGCTTTTGCTGCATTATTCTTGAGAGGGTGATTCAGGGTGGAAGAGGGGTCATTGGAGGGGTGTCTCTCCTTCCTCCACCTTCCAGCCTGTCACTTGTCTGCCCTCCTGCGGGCTGGGCTGGGCCGGGGGAGATTAGAGGCGGGGGAGGCGGGAGAAGGTTAATCTCAGTCCAGTTTGTTGGCACATTCTCCCCGCCCTTGTTCTAAGGCCAGGAAGATGATCCTCCCCCTAGTGACAGTGCAGCAGTGACTTTGTTCCCCTCTCCCCCCCACCCCCATTCGAAGCTGGGGCACAACCCCCTTCCCTCCTTTTCATTTCTCAGAGCCTCACCGGCCCTATTTAGGGGCCTATGAAGCAGGTGGGTTTATTACTACAGTGATAGTTATCAAGCCCGTGCCTTCCCCTGAGAAGAACAGTTAGTTTTAGCATACCATTGGTGAAAATATTCTGTTTCTTATAATTGTAGATATAAGTAAGACATACATTTCATCACTGGCTGCATTATTGTAAATATTTGGTAAATTTCAAGCCTACACGAGTACCATTTAGAGCGGTTTTATTTTAGAAGAATGAAATGGAATTTTGACATAGAAAATGTTCAGTCTGGCTTGGATCAGTCATATTCTAAAACACATGCCATTTTAGAAGAAAAATTAGTAATAGTGCATTTAATGCACTTAATGCTTTTAGGGCTTCTTCCCCCACCTCCTTTTTCTTTACTACAACCAGAGATAGAAAAACCCAATAGGCCTCCTTTCTAGGGGACAGGATTTATCAGTGAAATTAAAGAGATGTAAACTAGTCTTGGAATGTTTGTTAGAAGCTCATTCAGTGAAGTTGGCAGACTTCTATGACAGCTAAAAGGGCAAGATAAACAGGGTGAAAATTCTTCCAAAATGGTTGTTAAGCAGACGGAATATTTTTGATGTGCCACTGCGTCAAAAGGCAGAATTTAGCATTGTGAAAATAAGGTGACTTTAAAACTTTCCGTTTATATAAATGAATGCCGAATGAGAAGATCTTGATCTAAATTAGGATTTGGGAGTCTGCGTCTAGTTGTGGTTTGAGCCGAGTGATTTTTTTTCTGCTGTTTGATATAGATTAGCAGGGGGTTGGGTGGGAGGGTTTGTAAACATTATTCTGTCTTGTGACTTAGCCAAACCTGCTGGAAGATTGACCTAGTGATTAATGAATTTGTATCGTGGGAAAAAAGTAATGCTTAAAAATCTCATTTTTTCACTCTTTCTGTAGGTGGCAAAATTGCCACTTTTTCAGAATCAAAGAGCAGATTTATGAGAAGTAAATAGAGAATTAGAAAATATATACAGGCAAAGACAATTTCAAGTTTATTTCATCATGGTTTATTCAAGGAATGAAAGAGAAAGGTGTAGGGCTGGAAGTTTTCTTTGTGTTGGAATACCTGGAGCAAATACAGGTTTCTTTTTTTTAAATGCTCTTGCTCTTCCAGAGAGATGAACATTACATGAAAGCTTATGTTTGGACTTGAGGGTCTATATATTAAAATATTGGAATGTATAATAAAATAATATATATTTTATGTACATATAAAAATCGGAATGTATATAATAAGAATATGTAGCTGTTAAAAGGTGGACATAGTATGTAGACATAAGAGTATATAGGCAAGGTTTGTTAATGATCATGTGAACCAAAACAAGAAGTTTCCTCTTATTATTGACGTTTGAGTATTAACAAAATTAGTACCTTTAAAAACAGATTGTAAAGCATATGGATTGAATCAACTCCACTGGCATACAATCATAAAAAAGTATGCAAACTGTTCAGGTGCCTTAGTTGCAAAATCTTATGATAAGCCTAGAGTATTTGTACAGGTTACATATTAGAAACTTAGTGGATTTTTAACTTTGTTTTGGGTGTGGACCTGTGGGGGAGGTGAAGAAATTAGTCCATGTGCAGGCCTTTTGCCTTTGAGTAAAATTAGTGTTATGTGACTTAGATTTTGAAAACTTACTTCCTTATAACTACGTAAACAGGTCGTATTTTTTCTTTCTTACTATTTTTTGAGGCAAATGCATTTGGTAGATGTCTCAAGTAGTAAACTTAAAGTAGTTTACAAATTAGTGAATGTGGCTCCATGTTCTAGTTATAAGCCTGTAATGGTGACCGGTATAATACTTGGGCTTTCTCCTGTGATAAGACAGAGAATTAGCCTAAATTTTCAAGACCTGGGATCAGGATATGCTAGCTCAACATATGTGTGTGTGTGTATGTATATGTATATAGTTACGGAGAAGGTAGTTACAACTCCAATAGTTATTTTGACTGAAAGGAAGAACCCTTGGCACCTGAATGGATGTTATCAGCTCCATGTGGTATGATATTTCCTGTTCAAAGCATTTTTATATTCATTGAGCAATCATTTTGATATTTGTATCCCCACTTTTTGGGGGGTGGGAAATAGCTGTAATTGAACTGACATTTTTCAGATCAATAAATGCTTTGAAGATGTTAACTGGACTTTGTTTTGACACACTGACTTCACTACTTTTCACTATTTTTTCCTCTGAATAATTGTTTGGAGGAGGCCTATAGTACAATAAACTGTTAGTAATGCACTCCTTTGGCTATTGTTAAGGAAGGAAGTCAAGTTTTCTAAATAACTGAAGCTTACTTCTCCCTTAGATGTCAGAACTTTAAAAAATGTAAACTATTTTGAATGGAGATTTCTGAATTGTATTACATACTTTTGTCATCTTAAAGTTTATGAAATATAATATAACCTTTAATTAGTTAAGGAATATGATTCCCTCATATGGTATTCTCTCACTTGCCATCATAGTATCATAGATTTAGAATTGAAAAGGACCTTAGGGATTATTTAATCTGACTTGATTATTTTATAGATGAGTAAACTGATGCTCATCAAGGAAACTTTCACAAGGTCACACAGCAAGCAAGTGGCAGAGCTAGTACTGAAACCCAGGTCCTTTGATTAGAAATCCTGTGCTTTTTCCACTATCCCAGTAGTCTGTGACATTGGCTCAGACTATTGAGATGTGTATAAAGCTGTTTGCCTCTAGAGTAAATGACCTCTGCCTGATAAATTTTTCATAACCTGGTGTCTTTTTAAATGTTTTTCTTCCATTGTCCTCCTTCATCCTGACTTGTTAATATTCTTCTATGTGCCTTTTGCCCAAGGAAGAGGCACCTTCCAATTTGTGACTTCTAACCACTAGTGGACTGGAAAAATCAGATACACACAATAGTCTGAAGGAGAAATTGAGGCATCTCCTGTGGGTGAGGTGCTCGGGTTTTTAATGCATGTACTTTGTGCCGTGGGTTTTGGATGATTAGAAGCTTTTTTGTTTGCTTCCTGGTTTTCAGTGGTGGTCTGCATGGTCCAGATTGCTGGACAAGTGAGGTATTATTGTAGTAAGTTATTGTCTCTTTATTATACTTAACACTCAAGTTTTTCTGTATATCTGAATTTTATTAGTCAGTTTATACTTACTGTAGAGCAAGGTCGTATGGTCATAATATTAATCTGTTTTGGCCAACATGGTAAGGCTGAGTGGGATAGGAGTCTTTCTGAATTATTATTGACACTGAAATCCGTTTTTGAGGTTTAAGCTTCAAACTTGAACAATTATTTATTTGTATAATCTGTTCTTTGTTATTTGTTACATTTTGGTGTTAGAAAATTTGGCCCATAATTGTGTTCACAAATCATCTTTTCATGGTTGCCTTGAGAAATTTCACTACTGCTTCACAGACCCAGATTATTATAAATTTTATATGCACATGATGAAACTCAAGTATCTTGTTAATCTGAGTCAGTTATACTTTAAAATGACTAGCATTTAGAAATTGTCACAATTGGAGTTTCTTTTATTGACAGTTCTGGGCTTTAGTAAAGATTCTTGGTTCACACTATAACAAATACCTTGTATAGTTCTGAATGATTCTGGTAAAAACTTACTCAGAAAAACATGAACTGCTACAGATTGCAGTCTTTCCAGGCACAGGAAACCTCCTTTGTAAAATTGTTACCAAGGGTCGAGCTGTGTCCTTAGCGTAGTCATTACTGAGTATTCAGTTCAGTTGAAGTGCAGTCTATTTATCTGACAACCTGGTAGGCTAAAACTCTGGGAAGGAAACAAGGGATACATGAACATTCCATTATTTAGAAGAATAAAATGAAAAAGTTGAAAATGAGTTTGTTATCAAAACATTTTGCAGCTAATTTTAACATTTGCTTTAAATCCAGAAATTGAAGTTAGGGACCTTGGATCTTGGAGCAAGAAGATACCTTAAGGCAGTAATACTAAAATTCTTTTGAATTATTTATCTGTTCAATTGATGGCAAAACAGTACAGCTAATATGAGCTTGCTGCTGAGAGAAATCATTGATGATCTCAGTTGTGTCATCAGATCAGTACTGGTGTTTGGAAAGTACCAACCTTGAATAGGTTGGTTTTATGTAGCTTTGTAATCATCCTTGGTGCTTCTTACGAACACACGGATATACCATTTTATAGTATCCATTTCATAGGTTCTATGAATATTTTTCTTTTGAAATGATTTTTCCTAATCTCCTTATTTAATGTTTTAAGAACATCCAGGTATTCCTAACCAAGGTTATCTTGTAAGCTTTTTTATTCAGTAGCTTCTATGCTTTTATGTACTTGTTAGCTTTTTTATTTAATAGCTTCCATGAGTAGTATCTACTGAGAGATTAGAAGTACTCCAGAAATACGGTGTATTGTTTTTTGACCTTGTATAAGTAGTGTTTAATTATAAAATGTGGAGTGATATTCAAAACAGTGTCTTTATGGTTGGAATCCAGTAGTGTTTGCTATAAAGTCTCCTGAGTTCTTAAAGATTAATGAACTTCTAATATTGGGCTTCACAGTGATAAAAAATTTTGAACTCTGGGTGAAGGTTTTTTTGTTTTTTTTTTTTTTGCTTTTTGTTGAGGCAGTCGGGGTTAAGTGACTTGCCCAGGGTCACACAGCTAGTGTCAAGTGGCTGAGGTTAAATTTGAACTCAGGTCGTCCTGACTCCAAGGCCGGAGCTCTATCCACTGCACCATCTAGCTGCCCCCGTGAAGTTGTATTTTTAAAATATTTTTGTTGCTTCCTTTCTACCCTTTCTAGAACTGACAAATGCTCTTGAAAAAATAACTGCTCAGCAAACAGTTTAATTTGTTAGTGTGACCAGGTGGTTTTCCCTAAATATATTAGAAATTTATGTCCAGCTAGATGTTGTAGATTATCCACTTCTAAGATGTGCATACACTTTACTCCATAATTGTAACAGCAGTAAGATTCTGAATGTAATTTGGCATAGTCATTTTAAAACAGGAGAGTAAGTACTATTTTGAAGTTGGTAGATTAACTGCTTGGCTACCATTAAGTCTACATTTGATGTTGACAGTGAAAATGTGGTTGCCTAGATAAGGAGAAAAACATGTAACTGAGCTACTGTAATTGTTCTATTAACATAAACTTCAAACTCAGCAAAAGATCACTATATGCTCAGCCTGTCTAGGGAATAGTCTTTAGGGGGTGGGGAACCTGTAGCCTCGATGCCTCACCCTGGTAGTCACCGCTTCATTTATGTGTGCTTCTTTACTCCAGAGTAACAGTCCATTACAATAACTGGTGATTTATGAATAGCAAGACTTCTTAGTCCAAATACTGCCGATTAAATAGTCATTTGTGATGTAATTGACTTAATGCTATCTGAGGATATTTTTCTGAAATAAATTATGGGAACAAACTTTGTTATTTTTTAATAATGCATTGATATTGAAACAAGAAAATTTGGGAAAGGTAATAATTTGATTAAGGTCATTATTGACTAAAAATTAATCACTATTAACTAAAATGTAACAACTTTGTCTTCTAGTTTTTAGTAATATAATTGTTTCCCTACCAAAGACATGGTGTGGTAGGTAGAGTTCTGGACTTGGAATGAGGAAGAATTGGATTCAAATTCTACTTAGCTATTCACTAGCTATGTAATACTAGCAAGTAATTTAAAATCTCTTAAGGCTCAGTTTTCTCATCTATTAAACAAGGGTGAGGGACTTACCATAGCACCTATATCACAGGGTTGTTGTGAGGTTCAGATGACATAATGAGGTACATAAAATGCTTTGCAGACCTTAAAGCATTATATAAGTTTGAGTTAGGCTATTATATGTAAATTTCTTACATCTGTGTAATTAGTGATCTAAGTGACCAATTTTGATCGTTAGAAATTGTTCCTTGATGTTGTAATATGTTGCACTTTCATTTAGGACATTTGTATTCCTGTTGTTCTGTGCCATTCAAGTATTTGAGCCATCTCATTAAAATGAATATTGTATTCATTTACTACTTCAAAATAAATTTGTATGTAATCAAAATTTGGGAGAGGAGTGCTTTATTCACTTGGCTCATTTAGAAGATATACAAATTATAGAAAGTTCTTAAATGTTGGTGTTACTGTAACCTTTAATAGTTTTGACATATTTTAATGATTTATGCTAATTTACTGAGATATTCCATTTCCATCTCTGATCTTTTAATACCACAGCCCACTTTTAAATAAAGTTTTGGCATAAACAAGTATTAATGATGGTGTACAGTTAAAATGAATGAGTAAACATCTTATGAAAGATCAAGAGGATTCATGATGTTGATTCTTGTTTCCTAGGTAAGGCAGGCCACCAATCAAATTGTGATGAATTGCGCTGACATTGACATTATTACAGCTTCCTATGCACCAGAAGGAGATGAAGGTAAGAACCATTTTCTGCTTTGGCTTGTTACACAAAGGTAATGCTATTTGTTGTTTTAAAAAGTAAATGTCTTTGTATAAGAATTCATTAGATGTGGAATGTTAGACATTTTAATGCCATGCTATGATCTGAGAATAATAAATACAATATGGGATGATGGAAATGAACCAGTTCTAAACCTGTTTCTTACGTTGAATTCTTTTGTGGCCCTGGGTAAAGTGTTGAACTTGGATTTCAGTTTTCACAAATGCAAAATGGAAACTGCTGTAATACCAGGCCTATTAAGCTTAAAAGTTCTGAAGGGCTTTGAACATAAAATATACAGTATAAGAATTTATTAGAGTTACTTGGCTGTAGTTCATATGTAGTTTTCTTAGTTTTACTCTTGAACTATAGCTTTAAACTAATATTTTGAATCTTATTGGAGTAAAGGAAGTTTGCATGGTAATATAGAAATGGTGGAAAGGTACTTTAAATAGAGGGGTCTGTTTAAAGGAAATATGATCCATTGGGTATGAAACCTATATATTGGCATCTTTTAAATGATTGGAAGAGGTCATATTAAATCACGTAGTTAGGAAATGGATTGTATTAACAAATTAGTTGAGGGCTGAAATTTTAATCCTATACAGACTGCCACATTAAAAATCATGATTGGCATAAACTTACAGAATTACATTGACAATTCCAGCAAAATTAATTTTAACTTCTGGCTTAGGATTATATATTTAGAGCTGGAAGAAACCTGGGAGGTCAAGCCTCTCATTTTACAAATGAGACAGACCAGACAGGTTAAGTGACTTGCTCAAGGTCACCTAGGTAGTAAGTAGAAAAGCAAGTATCCTCACCCAGATCCTGTGATTCTAAAGCTAAAGCTGTAACTTGCTGCCTCCCATGGCATTCCATCTTACAGTTATCGATGTCATTGCTACCTCCTGATAAGAGACTATTAAAATTGGATATAACATAAGAATTAGAGATGTGAGTTTTTAACTGAGTAATTGGAGTAGTATTTTTTGCTTTCTTCCATCTTAGCCTGCTTAAGGAAGATTTTAAATACAGTTTAAGACTCAAAAGGATCTATTTGATGATTATTTTAAAAATTCTTTGGCCCATAGAAAAGAAACAAAATGTAAATGGCAGATGTTCATATTAACACCATGAAACACTTGTGTTAAATTTGATTACAAATGGGATCAAACTGCTGTGGTTTTAGGTTTAGAGGAAGCAGATCCTTTAAATGGATTTGAATAACTTCCAGCTTTATTTGGAATGATTTGTTAAATCAAAGAGTGATTATTTAATTTTTCTAACTGTGAAGAAAAATGGAAACATCTTAGCTGCCATACCAGGTCAAGCTTTCTTCTTTGCTATGGACTGAAAGCACACTTAAATTAATTGGAGGGATTCCAAAGAAATTTTAAGTGGTTCCCGATCTTAGGTAGATGTGGAGGAAAAGTAAAACAGTACCAGTGAATAACTCCTCTAGCTGGCATGGTGTTTAGCTTGTGTTTGATTTTTATCTAGTCTACTTGTTCTTTGAAAATTATTCTGAAAATATCCGGAAAGAAGTCAGAGGGCCTCCAAGTTTTGAATGTGCATACATTCAAAGTTGGTGCCCAACTTGATAATGATCTCTAGTCCAAAGAAGTAGTGGTGGGTGTGTTAAGGGGGTGGAGAGAAATGAAAACTTGTAAGGAAGTAAAGAAGGCTATGAGAAAAATACAGTCAAGGCATTAATGTTCTCAGAAAAGTTCAAGTTCCCTTTTCCCTCCAAACTAGGCAAAGGTTTATTTTCTGGCCCCAATCCCCTATAACTACTAATAAGTAGTTTTAAAGGGGGAGGGGACCCCCAAAGTATATTTGAGGGCCTGTGAGACTTCACTCAACTCAAGCTTTGAAATATTGGGTGCTAGCAGGTTACATTAGCTTCTTATTTTGAGGTTATATGTGGAGAAATTTGAACAATTCAAAGTGATTTTTTTACTTTATTTACAGTATTAACATTATTGTTTTGTAACTACACACAAAGTGTATACCTTGCTATTTTCTTAGTAATAAGGTTAGATTCACCTGTTTCCAGGTATCTCAGTATACCTACCCTTGCATAGTGGTAGTCATGATCATTTGATGTTTCTCCATAAACTGGTAGTGGAACTTGCTAAATTTGATTCCCAAGAACCTAATACTAGATCCTAAGTACTAGATATTAATGAAATATGAAAGTTCTGTGGGAAATGGGAGAAACATCAATGTTGTACCATCTAAAATAGCTTCTCACAACACATTTTAACTACTTTTGCTGTAGGAAGGACTTTGATTTGAAGCTATGAAACCATTACCATCTATTTAACCTTCCTTATGAGTTTCATTAATGGAAAAAGGACTCTTGTGCAACAAATGCTGTAGTAATCCAGGAAGGCCTCTTGGCCTGTGTCTCTTCAACTTAAGACACTTGTCCTTAAATAGAAATACTTTATTTTAAAAACATATTTGAGATCTTACTTTGTGATATTTAAAAATAACAAATCAGTAAGAAAAACGGCTGAAAACTGTTTTTTTACTGTTCTGCACTTCAAGGGTTGGTGAAATCACTAGCACTTAAACCAGTGCAAGGAATGCACCTCCCTACACAGTGCAGGGATTAGTATTGTCTTCAGCTCCCGCAAGAGAATACGAAACTCTTGAGTGCCTGAACTCAGGTCCTGACAGGTAAAGAGCCTTTTAATTTATCCTTAATAGATGGCTTGGACATAACCTAGAAAATAATTGCTTCAGTCTGTATTATTTTTTCTTCTGTTTACGTTATGAGAATTTTGTTTGTAAAATTATTTGTATAAGAACATTTTCATGGAGTTCCAATATGTAGATTTCATATTCAGTGAAGTCACATGGGAAATGTGTTTTAACAGATTTATTTTTGAAAGTGTGTGTATGAGAGAAGGGAGGGACAGAGAGAGAGAAAATGTGAAAGTTTGGAATACTGCCAAATAGGCAGGGATTTCAAAATGAAATTTAAATTTGCCCCAGAGACTGCTTGACCCATCTTCAGTAGATCAGACTTTGAGTTGCAAATTAGACAAACTCTCAGTTGTTTGGCTTTACTGATAGCATTATGGAGATGGGTGATGGCTTGTTCATATGTGACTAGAATAGTATGGTAGTATAGGATTGATAAATATGAGCAAAATTAGTTTTTAGCTTTAATATATCATGTAAAAACAAGATATTAGCAAAAAATAACCTTAAGAGAATGGGAATTTTGTAAGGCACTTTGGAAAACTACCTAAAAAGTGGAAGGAATCCAAGGTTAGTTCCAATTCTGAGCCTAGTTCTGCCAAAGAATTTCAATGATGGGCAAGGCTTATGGCTTATTCTGTGAATATCCATTAGTACGAAATTAAACTAAGCCATTTGTGTAGCTGTATGATATAATAGAAAACTGAATTGAGGGCCTTATAGTAAAAAACTACATAAATATTGTAAAGGATATCAAAATAAAGATCCTTGTCAGCGGCATGACTCATGAACACTGTAACTATGGTATAGTGCTCCAAAAATCTAGCATAAACTATTATTTGATTACTTTTGCTCATTGGTACTATAACAGAATGGACTCTTACTCAGTTTATCTTCTTTTACTCCAGATTCCTAAGTGTGTGCGATTTCAGGAAATGACACACACAGCTTAAAGTCCATTTTATTTTGCATTGTTCTGAATAGAAGGGTTAGTTGGGCAAAAACTACTGAATGTGCTTGGCTCAATTGAGGAACCAAATATTTTTCTAATTTTCAAATAATTTTTAGAGGATCCAGTTTTATAAGTTCAGCATCCCCAGTCATTTTAAAAAATCAGGTCACATTTTAAGTTAAATGTTTTATTTAACATTGAACATCAGTGTAGTCAACTTTCTTAGTAACTTTACACCAGTGAGCAAACATTTATTCAAGTGCCCACTCTGTCAGACACTGGAGGAGGATTTGGGGATACAGAGATGCTATGTAAAAAGCTTTAAATGCCAAAGAATAATTTTGCATTTTATCCTTGAGGTTTGAATTTAAATATTTAGTCCCAGCTTAGTGAACAATTCATTCAGAAAACATTAAATTAAGTCTTTGCCCTTAGGAAGCTTACAGTTTATAGGTAAATGTAAAAGTACGCACAAAAGTTTGTCCAAAAACATGCAAAATAAATATAAAGTAAATTTTTGGGGGGGGTGTCAGATGACACTAGAAGCAAGGGGGATCAGAAGAGGTCTCATGTTGGAGGGTGGCAGTATTGAGTTGAACTTTAAAAGAATTAGGGAATTTATATTTAAATTAATTTCAAAGTACAGAATATTGTTATTTTTCAGTCGTTCCCTCAAATTTCATAAGATACTAGATTTGTCCATTCACTCATTGACCTTTCCCCTTCTCTGGTCATTCTAAACGTGTGTTCTGTTTTTCTGGTTCTACTGTGCTTTACTGCATGTGAGAGGTAGCATACTGAACTGACCTTGAAGTCAAGAAGATTCTGAGTTCCACCGTCATCTGATGCAGCTTATTAAGTATATAACTGGCAAACCAGTGTTAGATGCTCAGGATACCAAAAAAAAAATTTTTTTTCTTTTAAAGGCAATTCATGAATCTTTGCCCTCAAAAATGATTAGACACTTTTAAAAACTCAAAAATGTAAATACCATTGTATCCGGAGTTTTATATTTTATTATATCCTATTTTCTTTGTTTTGAAGATGAATATGATAGTGATATCAAGGAATCCCTTTCTTTTTTAAAAATCTCAAGTGTTTTGTGATTTAATTATATTTGAAGTAGGGTGAGATGACCTAGTCGTGGCATTTGTTCAAGCTGCAAATAATCTTAAATTTTGGTTTCTAGTAAAAATGCCTTATTCTGGGATTCAGGGATCTATAGTCAGTTGCCTTTTGAGTCTTATTTTGTAGTGCTTCATAAAGTTTGTTCCATCAGATTAGACCTATTTCATCTTGCTGTTGTCAT